AGCTATTCAGTGGGGCAGATAAGAGTGGAAGACTGTACGAACTCTAGAAAGTGAAGGTAGGGACATTCAGAACGAGTGCTGGCCATTGGAGCCATGTATAGAGAGAGGGTGGTCAGGGGTTCTTCATCGCTTTGAGAAAGTTGGGTAAATACTTTTGAAGTGTGGGCTAGTGGGTCTGGCAGTTGACCATCAACCCAGACTGCAGGCTCTCAGCGCCTCCGTTCTTGTTGCTAAAAATTCCTTGTTGCTTTGATAATCAGTGAAAATGATGCAACTTCATTTATATAACAACTTGTAGAAGAGCATTTTCTAGGCCTCCATGTCTACTTGACCGCTGAGAAATGCAGCGTTGGCTGATAAGATGGTTATTTACTAGTGGAAACACACCTTCCACATCTAATCCGGTTATGCCTGAGCAGAAACCTTTCAAAAGCCTCTGCAGATGGATTGCAGCGGTGCTGCTGTACCTTGTGTTTGTGTGACAGTGAGTGCTTGTGGATGACGGGTATAGAATAAACCACATTCCAGCCTAGGTGGGGGCAGAGATCCCAGTGAACTGTGTGCTTCCAGGCACGATGAAGTCTTGTGACTGGTACGTCATCTCCTGGCTTTTTCCTTCTCTCATGCCCTTCTTGCTCTCCATTTCTGGTGTTACCAGAGCTTGAACAAGCAGTGTGATCTCCACTTACCGCGGTTCTGTCTCGTCTTTCCATCGTTCCTGTTGCTCTGCAGCAGAGTATTGCATACCCAGACTTTATTCAGCTTTGTGTTGTGCACAGCTGACCTTGGCAATCTCCCTGTCCCCGTCCCATCAGACTGAGGAGTCTCCCAGAGCAATGCTGTTTGGACTCCTAAATCCAGTAGTATCACAGAAGTGCAGAAGAGGTAGCATCTGTGTCAACAGGATGCAGTAGCTTTACCCCTCATTTTGCTTAGTATATTAGAAATGTTGTTCTGAGAGACTCGGCCTACATCTAGCTGTTTGTATCTTCTGTTGAGGTGTGCTTCTTGGCCAAGGCTCTGAGTTTCCATGTTTTATTTTAGCATATATTGTGATTTGCCTTGGTAAATCTGAGAACAGGAGATGGGAAACTGAATGGAGACAAAAATAGCTTGCAACCAGCTGTCCCTATAACCCTTCAGTATTCTGCAAATGGACAGAATGAGGAATTATAGCTGGATTGTCTTGTCCCTGTAGCTATTATGTGAGCCCTGCCATTTTTTATCCCTTCTTCATAACCTGCCATCTCTGCGCTCTCATGTCTCTACCCGTTTGTTCCTGGAGTAGTGTCTCTAGAGAGGATATCTCTGCCTCTCTCCCTGGATGAGAGCTGTACAAGAGAGTGGCTAGAAAGCCCTGGCCCATCTAAATTCTTTCTACTTTTAAAATAGTTTCTTCTAAAGCTTTTAGTGATGTCCTGTACGATTATGCAATTTTGAAAACGCTCCAAGATTGCTTAAAAATGCTGTGGCCCTCAGGCTTGCTCTTCAGTCATGTTTTCCTGTCTCCTTCTCTCTCTGCATTGCTTATTTCTTTATGCTTGTACTATAAGCTTTTTTTGGCAGCCCTTGGCACCGTGACTGCTGATCTGTGACTGAAGCTCCAGGTGCACGGTAATACCAACAAATAATAAAGGTGGGAACTTAACACGGGGAAACACAGTTTCCCCTATAGGTGGACCCTATGGTTTCCTCCTCGATGCCAGGAGGTGATGGGGACGTTGCCTGGGCAGTTTTCAGACTTGCTTTCTGACTTGTTGTCATTATGATAATCAGGAAGGGAGGTCTTGCATCCTCAGAGGCCCACCCTTAAGCATTTCAGGCTTCATCATGGTAGCAGAGAGCAGGGGATGCCTCCAGCCTCAAACTGTGAGTCTGAGTTCCCGAATCTGGCGGGAAGACGTGCCTTCCCTTCCCTCCCAGTGCCTGCTGCGCCTCGGGTGGCTGCCTCTCTCCTCCCAGCCTAAAAAAAGGGACACAGTTCCCCCCCGACGGGAAGCTTTGGAAACCTCACCGAACATCTGTGTCCAATCAGACCGAACATCCACAGCAGGCGGAGCGGCGGCCGAGCACCAGCGGTAGCAGGGAGCCCTGGAAGGGGCTGCGCTCCCGTCGCCGCCGTGGGTCCCCGGGGAGGGGGTTGTGCCAGGGGAAGCAGCCTCCCGGGGCCCACAGTTCTGTACCTCCCCAGTGACAAGCTGCAGGACAAAACCACAAGGCTTGAAACGCAGCTCAAAACTAAAGGGGTTGTAGAGCCGAACCACAAGGCTGAGAATTTCAGTAATTAAAAGCCGAGAAAACACTTTTTTAGTTCTTTAGCCCTATTAGGGAGCTTTGCATACCCTATAGGTGGAAGTATGAAAGCTGTCTGCTGAGGTGCCGCATTTCTCCCTAGAATTGTTTTAGAAACTCCAGAGGGAAAACATACCAAAATGAAGGAATATCCTCAGTAATAGTGGGAACCACACAGGAAAGTTACAGGCAACAACACAAAGCAAATAAAAACGAGACAGAAGGGAGAAACCAGAACAATTTTGGAGCTGTGTGATAGGTGAGAAAAGCGGTCAGGATGAACGACAGGAGAAACCCACAATGAAGGGACCAAAGCTCAGTTTATACTGTGTTCTCAGCTGTGGATGGGATCCACTGGCATTGAACTAGCTGAGAGGAGCCCAGGTACAGTCATAGCCCTTCACACAGCACTGGGAAAAAGGGCAACTCTGATATGTGTAATTATCTTTCTGAACAGCTCAAGTAACAGCAAAGAAGAAAAGTCTCAAGTGTTTGTAAATTTATTTTTTTCTCTTTAGTATTTTGTGTGTAATGTAAAAGCCATGCAAAAACTACTTAAATCCCAGAACTTATGTAGAATCTCTTATGGAGTGTGAGTCCAAACAAAAGGCAGCTTTTGTCCACTTTAAATAGCTTGCAGACCTTTGGTTTGAATTGTTTGCAAAATTTAGGCAATGCCATATTTTGAGTTGCACGTGGAATCATAATTAAACTTATAAATTTATTTTAGTTTCAGGGTCACACGCTATTTTTCCAGGGTGTGCCTGCTTAAACCCATGATAAGATGGTTTCACTGAATGAGTAGCTGTTCAAGATTTTTGTTTATCATCTTCATTTCTGTGAGACCTGGAGCGTGCTTAATGCAAGTGGAATCTGTGATTTTTTTTTATTTAATTTTTTTTTCTTCCTCCCTTGCAACTGAAAGACCTCTGCTTTATATGTGCCTTTAGGAAATTCCAAAGGTTTCATATTTATCCGATTTTTAATGAATTTTCACAAGAGGCAAAACTCAGCTGACATACCAAATCCCTCAAATCCCTTGGTCAAGTGGATGTTAGACTTTATTAACATTTGTAAAGTTGGTATTTTTTGAAAATGTCGTGTCACAATGGAAAGTGTTAGACTGCTTTAACACCAGGCATTCTTTCTAACTCAACTATGATGAAAGAACAGAAGTGCTAATTAGGATTTTTTCCATTTAGGGTCCTGAGAGCACTGTGCCATTGTTGAAATGAAAACTTAAATTCTGAATTTAAGGATTCTTGCCCTGGTCAGCAAAAGTGTATTAAGTTTGGGCAGCTTTGAGGGGGGACATGGGATCAAAATGGGATAGCAATGGCATTTAGCTATCTTAGGCTGTTGGTTTGGATAATGACAGGCATCCTCATCAAGTTTGCTGTGTTAACGCCTCTCGTAAGGCGAGAGCCATCTACCACAGTTTCATTCTGCAGGATCTGAAATTCAGCAGCTAAAGATAACGTGCAGTACAAGCAGTCTGTGAGATGAAGCAGGCAGAGGCTGCGGCAGAATTACAGGGGTAATGCATCGATACATCGATAATTACAGGGGTAATCACTACTGGGCAGGGGAGGCTCATGAGGATTTAGCAGGAGATCATCAACATTTTCGGCAGTGCTTTGAAAGCAACCGTAAAGCCACTGTTAAGCTGCAAGCAACCCAAAACTGGTGTAAATAATGACTTCCAAAGCACATGCGTTTTATGTAGAGTGTAGTATCTGGCGCTGTGGCTTGTCATGGAGATCACAGGGAAGATGGCTCATTACTGTGAGAAGGAGGTATTCAGTCAGATTACCCTGCCAAAGCTGCTGGTTAGCAGATTAAAATTCCTGCCATCCTCCCTGTGCCTTGCTCTGAATTTTTAACCCAAACAGAAGTGAAACATTAGAATGCAATTGTTCTGTAAGTCCTAAGAATGGGAAGACTCTAGTTATTTTGAGGGCAGTACATGCTATACAGGCAAATATCTGGGCCAGCAGGAGCAATGATATAAAGTAATGTGGCAGAGAGGCAGGAGCAGGGCTCTAGGCAGGGCTGGCTAGCGGGGTAGCAGTATTCAAGGCCAGTATTCACCCATGTCTGCAGGGTGAAGACTTTCATTAAAAAACTATTTATTGGAAAACCATAAAGGACATAGTTGTTTTTTCCCTTGTACCATGGACATGCATGGCTCCTCCCAAGACAAGATGACACCTTTATAAGCTTATGGCTTAATTCATATAAAATCTAACAGAACCTTTATCTAGGATAAAGGGGAAGCATGCGGCTCACACTGAAAGCAGAGCTGTACAGTCATTTGTAGTTCTCTGAATGTTCTTAAAAGCGATCAGTGTGTGCTGGAAGGCTTAAGCCATTAACCAAACTAGCTGAAGTGCTAATAGGAGTGAAAAGATGGCACCAGGGAGAGAGTTGTTCATGCTGAAGCCCAAGCACCTCAGTCTTCATCACACTCATCATCCAGACTAGCTCAAATGCATCTGCACATGCTGCTGTCACCCCTCCAGAATGCACCCTTCCACTGCAGCCTCATACTAGTGCTTTGTGGCAGGGAGCAGGGACAGCGGGAACTGCTGCCAGTAGTGGTGTTTGAGGGTTTTTTAAAAAAATAATAACAATCTGCTCTTTTGTATATAATTATACTTGTTGTTTTATCTTTCCATTTCTTTCTCTTTTTTTTTTTTTGTTACCAGAGTGCCTCTGATGGCTTTTGGAAGTCAGTGGCAACTCGTGTCCCAAGAGAACCTCATGAGATACGTATCCTGAATCCCTACTTCATCCAGGAGGCAGCTTTCAGCTTCATCGGGCTGCCTTTCAACAACGGCCTGATGGGCAGAGGGGTAGGTATAAAGCAGAGCAAGCAAAACCAAGGGGAAGGACTTTGGACATTGAATGGAAGTGACTTTGGTTCTTTTATGGTGGCAGCACTCAGCCTCCTGAAGGCCAAGGCAAGATCCACCCTTGCTGGTATCAAAGCTGCTTTTCTGGAGGCATTTCTGAGGCTTCCAGCACCAGCTGAGTGATTTCCCATCACCAGCAGCCTGCCAGAAGGGCACTTGCTTGTGTGGGTAGAGGGAGCTCCTTCCTAAAAGGAAGAAGGAACCCTGCTGTCTGCACCCTCAGCGCATCTGGAAATGGTGCAGGTCTCCCTAAAGGTCATGCTACTGTTCTGCAATTTGCTGTCCTCATGGAGACCGTGGCCTAAAATCACTGATACTGCACTGCTCATCCTGTATCCCAGGCTTATAGTGAAAGAGGGTAAAGGTTTGTTTTATGGGGCTTTTGGTAAGAAATTCTGATCTTACAGCAACAAGTTTTAGATGTAAAGGCTTACAAAAGAAAACGAGGTAAACCACAATTTTAGGTGATAGTTATTAATAAAATACCTCCGTGGTCATTCAAGTATCTCTCACCCCCTGTGCAGTTTTTTGGAGTGTTAGCGTGGAGTAGGTGGTGACTTGGGTTTTCTGGATTATCTCACACTGTAACGCTGTCCTCAGAACCTATTTATATTTACTCTACCTAATATATCAACCATTAGAGAAAGTATTACTTGGGTGGGTGAATTACTCATGTACACATGTGATATAGTTGTTGATAGAGACCACACGTGACATTTTTGGGCACATTAGCACAGCTGACGAACCCAGAGAAAAGCACTTTTGCTGGACAAGGTCTGCTTGTTCTGCCCCTGGCATTGTCCTTCCATTCTCACCAGTGCGGATTTGCCGTGTTGCAGCACGGATTTGGACTAGACAGAATAGTGGCTCATTTTCCATGCTCTAATTATATCATGAAGTAAAATATTAGAGATGTTTGTTTTGTGCAGGTCAGAAGGGTGGGTGCCTGGAGGTAAGAAATTCACTTCTTAAAATGCGGTGTGCAAGATGCGCAGACAGATTCAGCCACACAGAATGGTTCTTTTGTGAAATACGTTGCTGCCTGTGTACATACAGAAACTGTCTAGTGGTTCTGGGAACACTGGATTTTTGCTCCATGCATTGAAGGTATCTTAACCTAAATATTCCCATCAGCTAGGAAGTAACTTACTTCACCTCTCTGCATTCTGCAGAATGTACCCTTAGAAGGATGTGGTCTTGATTTGATTTCCAGAAAATCAGGACTGCTGCCGCAAGGAAGGGCAGAAATCAACAGTCTTTTGCCTTTTTTTTTCTCTCCAGATTTGTTTTTATTTCTAAACACGTTATTTTAATACACAAGATATTACTTAAGCTGAGAGGAGAAGAGAGAATCCGGAAATGAAAATGCTGTGAACTGAAGTTTATGAGGTTTTGATATGTTGTTTAACACACATCAGATTTGGAAATGAAGGCATCTTAATTGAAACCTGATGTTTCACTTCATGAAAGACCATTTGAGCATTTAAAAATAGTTTATGGAGCTTTAAGGCAAGCAATTTTTGCTCATGACCCCTGCTAGATTGTGTAAATTGTAGTTCATTCCTTCAGATGGGGTAGCAGGATCTGTGCAGGTGCATCTGTGGGGCTGGGACAGTAGTGTACCCTGTGCTGTCTGTGCAGGGGCACTCTAATATAGTGATGCTGTCAAACAGGGGGAGAGTGTTTCTAGCCTGTAGGTACAAATTTTACTGCTGACATCAACTATGGATTGCTGTGTTTGAGCTGCTGGGACTATAGGCTTTAGTGAATGCTGCTGCAAATGCTTCAACAGAAGCTACTGCTGCCATTGTAAAAAGAGTCTGAGTAGGATCTTGGTGATACAAATTTGCTACAGACCTTTTTTCACTGAGACTTTAATTGGGAAGAGTGGAAATCGAAGCCCGTAGTAGACCAAGAAGCCAACTCTTATTAAAGACTTGAGAGATATCCAAGCAAGATGAGTGAGGCAGCTAGAGCAAGGAGGAATGCTCCACAAGAGACAGTGTGACCCAGCAGCTGGAGAACGTAGCTGGTTGGGTTCAGGGTCATGCTTTTGAGATGTGAGGCAGCCTGGAACACTTTACTCAAGAAAGAAGCATATGAGCATGGATAAGGAAAATGCAGAGGTCTAGCAAGCAAAAAACACAGTGAACAAGATGTGTCCCGAGTCTCTCAGGGGGAACCAGGGTGGGGGCAGATTGGTGCCCCCGTGCTGCAGCGTGCTGTGGTATGTTGGGCAGGCTACACATGGGAGGATCAAGGCTGGGGATGCCTTAGTAATCAAGGCCAACACGAAATCCTCATAAATAGCAGTAATATTCCACTCTTCTTTGGTTCTGATGCCTAAATAAACTTCAGTGCTTCTCTTACACACCACATATGGTAACAATGTGCTGCCAATTAACTTTGTAATTTGGGGGCTTTTTCAGCAAGGTTGAGGAGAGCTAGTAAAATAGTTTGGGGCTGATCTCAAAGTGTTTTTCCCAGGATTCAATAAAGGGTGAATGTAGTAACATCCTCTGCTTTGATAATATAATTTGGGCCAGATGATTCTGGAGGATAGTAGGGGGGTACAAGTCAGATGTGCATTTTGATTGCACTTGTGGCATTAGTAGTGAAAGTCTGAGCAAGGAGCAAAGCTGGTCACCCACAGTGAAAAGTGATTTCTCTCTGAGACCAGTAAAGCTTTTCAGGAGTTTCCTCAGTCCATTTACTGAAGTTTTAAGAAGAGGTAGAGCTGTTTCCTATTGCATGTGGACTTCTCTTTTCTTGGGATAAGGTGATGATAAAGAAAAACTTTAGTTTTGGATCCTAGCAATGTCTGGGTAAAATTAAGTGTTAATGTTTGAAGATGGTTTAGCATGAAAGAAATGAGCTAGTAAAGGTCTTCTCTTTGATTAAAGAGTCCTCTTAAGGTGAGGGTGCAGGCTTAGCTGTCTCACTAGCCAAAGGTGTATGTATGTGATTTATGTTTAGGTGGAAGTTCTGTGTATACAGGTGTTTTGGGCTTGAATCCAGACATCACTGGTATTGCAGCTGGTAATTCAGGCATGGAATAATCTACCTTGTGCTGCAGACAGCTTACTGGGGGACAAGCATGAACATCAGTCAGTTCACAGGTGTCATTGCCTGGTGCATGTACAACACTAGGGATGGTTATTGCCATGGTGCTTTTTGCTGTGTAGTGAATGGTCCTGTCCACTCAGTAGTGCTCAGAGCCGTTGGAACAGTGGCTTTCTGGCTCCTCTGGGAGCCCTGAGCATGGTGTGAGGTGGCCAAGAGAACATTTCAGATTACACAAATTATCAGGATTCTGAGGGCTCCAGTGCAGACTGTGGTGTTTGTTTCTCTCTGCTGGTGCTGTGCCTCCATGGAGCTGCTTATGATTTAAGCTCTGCTGCCCAAAACTGTAGGTCTTTGGTTTGTTGGTGTACTGGAAATGGCTGAATCTATAGACCCCTTACTAATGAGATAAAGCATCTTCCTCTGGACTTCATCCAGCCTCAGCACCAACTTGTAGAAGAAGGAGCCATGTGCAGGAGGTGTTATCAGGCTGCGTCAGGCACCCAGCCATGGATTAGCACCTCTGCACAGTGCTGACAGCCCACAAGCATCGGGGATTAACCTCTGATGCTGGAGTGTTAGCACGTCCTGCCCCAGGGCTTCTCTTTGCTGTGGTTTGGCCTGTGGGCAGACAGCCTTTCTGGAGATGCCAGTGGTGACCCTTTGCTCCTTAGGCAGTTTTTCAACTCCCCTGTGGCTGGTCGTAACGACCCTTTCTCTCATTGGCACTGAGTTGCCCTGGTGTCAGCAATCTTTATCTCCTTGGCTGTTCTTGCTGGATTGCCACTGTGTGAAGGCTGTGCCTTGGGGACCTGTTGGGTCTTTACGGAGCAGAAGAGAGGTGGGGGATGGCAGGACCAGTGCAGTCTGATACCCCATCCTTCTAGTTGCCGTGCTTCTCCTTTTTTTGCGCTCTGACAGCATCTTCTAAAGCAGAGAGAGGGACAGGTAAGAGGCCACTGTGGCTGCAGTCAGTTAAATATAGAGACTTAGTGTCATTGTTAAGCTTTGGGTTGGCAAGACAGCTCATCTGCTTCATGGACTGGACTCTTCAATTCATGTGGGATGCTGCAGTGGGATCAGTCCATGAGCTGCCGGGGAATGGACACTCGGACAAGTCATTATGTGGTAGCAGGTAAATGCGTACCAGCTGCTTCTTGGTAAATCATAGAATCATGCCCAGCCACGTGCTTCTGCACATGATAGATGCAAAGTCACTGAAGGGAGTTTACTTTTCTATGAAAGAGTAGGCCATGAACTCCCATTTAGCATAGGGTGAAGCATATACGTGGTTACCGCAGAGCAGCTAGTGGCTAGTAAAGTCATGCCCTTGCTTGCCCTCTGTTAAACTGCTAGGTCCTTAACAAATACTCCCTGTGTTGCACAGGAACCTGCTCTATGGCAAATGGTGAATCAGAGCTTGGGGATCAGGTTAGATGTGGTCAAAAGATATTTGATTTGGGCTAAGTTGTATAGGAGCTTCACAGTTCAATGGCAGAACGGAAACTTGCTGGGCAGCTGGCTTGTCGTGTCTCCAGCAACAGGCCTCCAGCCCTTCCCTTTGCTCCGCTGCAGACTGACAGTTCTGGGGGCTCTCTCCCACTTACAGCAAGGGATACCTAGGGGAGGTGAACAAAGAGTGTTGGAGATGCTCTGCTTTGTCTTTTGAAGCCCAATATTGCAGCTGGTTCTGCACATGGATAGAGATAGCTGTGGGAGCAGCACTGTGGGTTGTTAGCTCCTGGGACAGGACCACTCTGCAGATACCTGTGTGCTCACAATAAGTGATGCTAAATTGATTTTTATGCCATATTTCCAAACTTGCCAGCTAAGGGAAGCAAAGAGTAGCTTTGGGGTTGTTCCTTTGCAAACATAAA